CATTATTTTTAAAAAAAATTCTACTCTAGAATCTGCGCAATGATGAGAAAATTAGAGGAAGTCATGCACCACGCTGATAATCTGTGCTGATAATTCTCTCTACCCATATTTTCCTCTGAGCTTTTATTATCCCCCAATTATCTATCTTTTGATTTTTGAAAGAGTTTTTGTTTTCACGGCATTAGATTCATCTTCGCAAAACCCTTTTGTCTGCCTCGAAGATCTTCAATTCTAAGCATTGAAAGGAAAATTAAAAGTAAAGGAACCAGATGATGTGATCTTCTCCAAGGAGGAGATTGAACCATGATGCGGACCGTAACGCTTTATAGCTTCTGGGGATAATTATTGGTTTCTGATGGTTCCTCTTTCAATGAATTTTTCAGATGAAATTTAAGATTCAATCTTTTGCTTCAAGATCGATTTCAAATCTGAAAATGTTTCAAATATATCTGAAATTACTGCCTCTGTTGAAATCTAATTTGGAATAATCCCACTTGTTTAATCTCCGATGGAAGCTTAAATCTCCATGGCTAGAGCAAGAACAAATTTAGTTAGATTTACAAGAACTTCGATAGGGGCCAAATCATTTGCCCTCGAGAGTAAAGCTGCAAATGAGATAGTAAGTTGATTGAGTTCAACTTCGTCAAAATTTAGTGCACACTCAACGTAAATGGTCTATATTTTTAATGAGTTGAAGCTACTTATTTAATATCTAATTCACAACGTTTGCGGTAATTTAAAAGGGTATAATGTTTTGATAATGCTGTTAATTTTACTTTTAATTTTTTAGAACATATTTTCCCTTAAACGTTTCATGTTATGTTAAAAAAATTATTCTCATTCGATGAAAATTATTAGTCAATTGATTACCAACGATTAAAATTGATTCATCAAAAGCATGTCGAAAAAAATATTGACTATGATATGTCTAAATCATAGTAAATAATGACATGATAAATACACGTACATGTTCACGTGTGATATCATATTAACAAAAAATTTAATTTAATTAATTATAAATAATTGTTTTTTACTAAATTAATAACCATCAATCAAATATTATCATATAACTCCTAATTTTTTTATTGAATTAAAAAAGATGTTAAACCTCCAAAAAGAAAATACAACCAATGAGATTTGAATGAGTCCAATGGATGAGAGACTTAATGTCTACCAAGTCACTTGGATGTAACTATGAGGCTAATGACATTATTTAGAATATATTTTAGTCATCAAAACTATCGTACTAACACAAACATTTTTTTTTTTAATTTGAGTTAAATTTAAGTTTTTTTTTTAAATTTGAGTTATATTTAAGTTATTAGAATTACTTGATTCAATTTAAATTTATATTTTAAATATTTAGGGGAAAACTGCTTGCAGAACTCTTGAAAGGTGCCGCCATTGATGATACCTCCGCCATGGAAGCAGCTTCAAAGTGTCCAATCTTGAGGAAGACAGGCTAGAATTTTTCCCAGAATTCTTCAACTTTTACATGAAATAAACACCCTTTGGGGTTTCCTCTCTGTCCCTTCGTTTGAAACATCATCTGCAGATTGCTTGTTTTTATTTTTATGTATGTTGCTTAAATAAGCAAGTTCCATTGAGTTGGAACAATAGCTTCTTTTTATGTTGTTTTTAAATGAATCCATAACTTTTCCAAAATCTCAAAATGTTCCTTACAAAAAAGACATAATATATAAAAAGAAACGAAAATAACACATCGAAATATATATATATATATATATATGTATGTATGTATGTATGTATATATATAACTCCATTGATTTGGTTATTGAAATTGCATTTAACAAGTACTTATATCACGTGGTCAAGTGTCTTTTGCTATGGTTAATTTTGCTATGTCCATGGGAGTGAACCTTGATATGGAGCAGTCCCACAGTATCTGAACAGACCTTCAATCTCCGGGCATCCATTCGGATATGGGATCGACCGGTGGAAAGGATCACGGCCTACTTTCTTCTTCTTAAGCGATCCTATACATCCATATGGATCTTGTTGAAATTGAGCCCTCACCAATGCCTCGCCTTTCAAAGCCGCTTCTTTCGAAGTTGATGAAGCCGGTGTGCCAGTGTAAAAGAATCGTGACTCCGGAAAGCCGATAGCGGAGCGGTGCAAGTTTGCAAATCTCTCTTCCTTGAAGTCATAGCTTACAACCTGATCCAAAATGCAATTGGATAATGATGAGTTCTCAATTTACAATGCGAGGAACAAACAGCATTTTGTTATGAACAAAAAACTAACAAAGCAACAAGAACATATTATGAACAACTCGACTCGATCACCTCATCAAATCGCACTGATAGAGGGTGGAGTAGCAGTAAGAATACCGGAATTCAGAATGGATCAAGTAGGATATGCTTACACTTATATTTGAGGGTATGTCCCGGTAAGCTCTCGAAACCGACAAACACTAAAGAGAAGATTTTCAAAGCTATCTCTTGCATGCTCCTCTGTTAATGCCCTCCACTTCACACTCTCTTCTTTCCCTGAAAACAGTCGAATAAAGAACGACACTCGATGAGTCAAAACCATACTGTTGTAGAAACAATTTCATAGAATAAAGACGGGAAAGAAAAAAACTCAGAACTAGACCAGAGAGTGGAACTCTTACTAGTGAGCTAAAATGGAGTTAAAAGATCATGTACTTAAAGGAACTAATGGGAACGAAGCACAAACATTGCATACATAATCTCAAGAAATCAATAATCTCGATAATCTTAACTTGTCGAGTTTATGTTTCATACTTCAAACCAAAGGGAACATTCAAGTAGAACCAAGGCAAGCAACTACATCACATAATCAGAGAAATGGAGAGGACCTAATAAGTGAACATACCGAACCATCCTTTCGATTCAGCAACTGTCCAATAACTCTGCGCCTCACTCAAAGGACCTGCATCCTTCCTAGTCTCTCCGCCGCTAAACAGAAGCAAAGCCGAATTATCTCGTGCAGTGCTTTCGATTCCTTCCTTTACATGACTCAAAAAAGTAGCAGCCTGTCCTGGATTCTTCTGGTACGACTCCAAAAACCAAGAATCATCCTTATCAACTCTTCCACAAGTACTACTTGTATAAACCGAATGTCCAGCAACCATTACAAGATTCTTAAGCTTGGCATACGGATAATAATTACCGAAATCCTCATCAGGTTTCCCATAATTTCTCATCATTCTATAGTGGTGCTCATATAGAGATAAAACTATGAGGATAGTGACCCCAAATGCCAAGGAAACAAAGAAAACAAGGCATGGATGTAACTTGTAAAAGTAATGAAGCCTGTTAGCAAATGATTTGGTCATTCTAACAGGGAAAAACGATGAATTTCTAGACCTTTTGGTTCTTTTGATAGTACCTGATTCAATATCAAAGTCTCCCCTTGGATATGCATCGAAGGACTTTGGACTATTTGATCCAAATGGATAATTATTCATGATATCACAAATACAGCTGAACAGCTTCAATATTTATGCAGATAAAGCATGCCCAGAGAGGCAATTCAACAAATTATCGAGTAAAGATCATGAATTCTGATTCGATTCGACAAAACCAAAGCAAAAACTACGTAAAAGGAAAGATCTTAATCATTAAAGTTAAAGGAAAGATCTTGATCATCAAAGTTGCACCTTCGGAAACTGGAAATGAATCTTTAAAGAAGAACTTTTACTACCAAAACAGAGGCAGAAAGAGTAAACTTACAAAAACCAGGCAGAGTGGAGGAGATTCAGATCCAGAATTTCAGAGTTTGCTTATTAAGATTAAAAATGTCAGAGATGGTGAAGATGGGTTTCACCCATTTGAAGCCCAAAAGGTGATCCGTATGTTTTATAAAACTCCACTTGGTTTTCATTGGCAAAGCCCAAACCTACAGTTCTTAATGTTCTTGAAGCTACTGCTCATCATTTGCATTTGGAATGACTAATTTGGTTGTTGGTCTAGTTTTCACATATAGTAATGTTGCATATTGAAGTGTGTTCTGGCTACCATATATATTTCCCCTGTTAATCTTTAACATTGGACATGTTTCATATTGATTATGCCTTGTTTATTATAGTACATCTTAAGTGTCTTGTGTTTGTTGAATGATTGATGACGGGGCCTTATCAGGCTATCACACAGTCTTAGATGAAATCTGGAATCAAAAAATGGAACTTATCCCTTTTATAATTAAGTCGAATCCTTCTGATTCATAGGTCAGTTTCCATGATTTGCTTGCTTGTTTACATCATGTTTTTTTCCTTCTGGTTTGAGCTGGAAACTGCTGAATCTCTGGAAAACAGAGCAAATCTGTCTAATTTGTGATTTGTTTTAGTTTTATATGAATAGATAAGAAGTGTATAGCTAATGCTTCAATAGCTAGCCACTAGAGATTGATATGGTTTGCTCAAGTTATAAGTGGGCCAAAGCTAGCTTTTTTTCATCTCACATGACTAGGAACAATGCACCATTTTAAGAACATGGAAGCTTTAGGATCTTATTATATCTTTACTGAAAACAGATGTTGGGGAAGCTTATGGGAGATGGTGGTCCTTTTGTATCCCCCCATAATTCTCATGTTCAACCTTGTTCGTGCCAACCATGGTTTATGTCAAAGCCCTTGTCTTTTTCGTCGGCTCCGCTCGTTTGATGTCCACCGGAATGGGGTTCGAAAGCTACCCTTTTCCCTATTGGTCCCCTACTTGAAAACTGCAGCTGATGAATTGATTGATTTTGCTAGTACTGTGCCACTTTTAAATTATTGTTTTGCTTTCCGTGATCTATGCCATTGAGAAAGCTTGCTTTATTGGATGGTTGAAGTGACCCTTGATGACAATTTTGGTCTTGTAAATTATACAGTAATTGAGTAATATGACTTTAAAAGATCACATGGAATGTATAGGCTACCAGCTTGACGGCATTTGGATATCTTCCTTTATTCTGCAGGGTCACCTGCATATCTTAGCAGTTGTAAATGTTCCTACTTTGGGGAAAAAAGACGAAGGAAACAGTTAGTAGGTCCGATTCTAAAGTTCCATTATTCCTCTTCTGTTCTACAGGACAGCCGCCCCACTTGATCGAAAACAAAGGATTCGATATGAGTTCGTGAAGCTCGGAAACAGCCTCGCATCACAGAAATAAATATAACAATACTGAGTGTTTTTCGGATTAATCAAGCAGCAATTTGAGGCCTATACAAATGACTGTTAAAAACAAATACAGATGAAACTGAAGCACATTGACTAAGAAGTTGAACTGATGAGAGATTCGGATGATCTCGAGAAACTAGAACAATGAACTGCAGCTTTGGGGTTGTTTGCTATGCCTTTACAGAGAAGATTTGGTTTCTCGGAATCGTCGTTCTCGTGCCTGATCTCTTTCAACATTGCTGTTACGTCTTTCATCGTGGGACGTTCGTCGGGACATGGATTGACGCATAGGAGAGCGACGCCGAGCACTTGAAGCATTTCTTGGATTTGTGTGCCTGATCTTATGAGCAGCATCTGGTCTATAATTTTTGTGAAATCTTTCCTCTTTTCTCGAAGTTCAGTGTTGATCCAAGTGATAATGTGGACACCATCTGGAATACTGTTGTCTGTTGGTTCCATGCCTGTTAAAACTTCCAGGAGAACTACACCAAAGCTGTACACATCACTCTTCTCTGTGATCCTCATGCTGTATCCATACTCTGCAAATCATCATATTCATGTCACAATGGAACATATCCCGACACCGAAACCGAGTCCGAGTAACATATATACAGGATTGAACAGGGAACTAGTCCCTAAACATCTTCAGAAGGTAAAGGCAATGCCAGAAAGAAAATTCACCATATTAACTCACCTGGAGCAATATATCCGTAAGAACCTGCAACAATGTTGGATGCTCTCGGAGTCTCCGAAACATCGACAAGCTTTGCCAGGCCAAAGTCTGCCAGGAAAGCCTCAAACTGTGGTCCAACTAAGATGTTGTTGGATTTGATATCGCGATGAACTATTGGTGGGATACAATCATGGTGAAGATAAGATAAACCTTGAGCAGCTCCAAGTAAGATCTTATATCTTGCATCCCAGTCCAAGAACAAGTTGTTCTCGTGCAGCAATCCGGCCAGGCTACCGTTACTAATGTAATCGAACAAGAGTAATCTGGTTTTCCCATTGTCACAGCATCCCAATAGCCTCACTATATTCTTATGCCTTATGGATCCAAGTGTCTGAACTTCTGCAGTGAACAAATCCCTCTCTGGATACTCACCATTTTTTATTGGCCATAGTTTCTTCACAGCGACAACCTGCTTTGTCGGCGTCTCAACACGATAAACCACACCGGAACAACCCTTTCCAATGATGTTTGAATCAGAAAGACTCGGTAATACTTCATTCACGGAGAAGTTAAGCTTTTGGAAGGGGATGAAATGCCAGTCCAAGAAATCATCCTCATGTTTGGCTCCATGAACTCTGATGAATAAAAATACAGCAACAGTGACTACTACAATGGTTATGGTTACACTGAAAAGGGTGCGGAGGATAAGATTTCTGGTTGATCTTTTGGCATGGAGATTTCCACTTGAGCACTCGGTTCGGTTAACACAGAGATCACGATTGCCGGAAAAAGCAGCGTTGGGGAGATTATCGAATAACTTAGTGTCCGGAAGGATACCTGAAAAGTTATTGAATGAGACATCCAAAGAAACAAGATTGTCAAGACCACCAAGGACCATGAGGCTGCCAGTTAGCTTGTTGTGAGAGAGGTCTAAGTTGGCCAGTTTTGATAGATATGAAAAGCTTTCCGGAATAGGCCCTGTTAAAACATTCCAACTAAAATTCAAGAGTATATCGAGTCCCTGCAGACGACCGATCTCTTCCGGGATTGAACCAGTAATCTTATTTCTGCTTATATCCAACAACTGCAAATCCTTACAGTTCCCTAGTGACTTAGGAATCACACCTGTTATCGAGTTTCCACTGATTACCATTTTGTTTAACGATGTCAGCTTGCCTAAACTCTGAGGAATGGTGCCTGCTATGTTGTTCATCGAAAGGTCCAAGATGTTTAGATCAGCAAGGAAGTCAAAAGATTCCGGAATTGTACCTTGGAGCTTATTAGCTCGCAAATCCACCATTTCTAAACGAGTGCAGTCGCCAATATCGGGAGGAATTTCTCCGGTAAGCCCGTTTTCCGATAATTCGAGAAAGCTCAGACCATGCAGAAGGCCAATCCCTGATGGAATGCGACCACTAAAGTTGTTTGATCCCATCCTTAAACGGGTCAAGCTAGTGCAATTCCCCAGAGTCTGTGGAATTTCACCAGAAAGTCTGTTTGATAACAACAACAGCTGCGTCAAGTTCTTCAAATTGAACAGAGAACTTGGGACTGGACCAGTAAGTGAATTGTGTGATAAGTCCAAATGTTGAAGTTTCTCACAGTTGGCTAGCTCGATCGGTATGCTTCCGTGAAGCCGATTCTGCCATGCAAAGAACTGAGTAAGCTCCTTTAGTTGTCCAATGGCTGCCGGAATCTCACCGGAGAATTTGTTGTTATCTATCTCCAATTGCTTTAGGCTTGAAAATTTGCCTATGAAGGAAGGTATGTTACCAGAAAGGTTGTTCCCTGACAAAAGAAGCTCCTCCAATGAAGCCAAATTGGAAAGAGATGAAGGAACCTCCCCAGTTAGATAGTTCAATGAGAGATCAATAATAACCAGACCAGAACAGTTCCCTAATGAGTCTGGAATTCTCCCACTCAGCTGGTTCTGCCATAGTAACACTGTTTTGAGATTCTTCAATGAACCAAGTTCTTCAGGAATCTCACCAGAAAGTTGGTTTCCATAAAGAAACAACTCCTCCAAAGCTGAAGAATTACCAAGTTCTGGTGGAATATGACCATTAAGCTTGCTTGTATAGATCAAAAGAGTCTTGAGATTCTTTAACTCCCCCAAACTTCTCGGAATCTGCCCCGAAATACCGGTATCGGCGAGTCCGAGAAAGGCTAGTTGTCTGCAATTCGATATATGCATTGGTATTTCTCCTTCAATACCTTTGTTCCCCCCTGCCCTGAAAATCTCCAGTGAAACTAACTGTCCAAGCTCTGCAGGAAGCTTTCCCGTAAGATGATTATCAAACAGTTCGAGCAACCGAAGATTCGAGCAGTTCGCGATCTCCCTCGGTATTCCACCGTGAAAGATGTTCGTGTTCAACGACAACGACCGTAAACGAGACAACTTCCCGATCTCAGCTGGAATATTTCCCGAGAAAGCATTGAAACTAAGGTTCAAGGTGATCAACGACGACAAGTTCCCTATTGAAGGTGGAATTTCCCCTGTCAAGTTCCCACGTGAAAGAACAAGAGCAGTAAGATGCTGGAAAGAGACAACCTGGGAGGGAAAACTTGTCTGAAGATCGATGTTCGATATACTGATTTCACTAACGAACCCTCCATGATTACATCTGATGAAATCCCATTTGCATGGATTCTGGTGGGATGGATTCCATGAAGAGAAGAAAGCAGAAGCAGCAGAAGAAGAGGAATTGAAGGTTGAAAGCCATGAAAGCAAAGAGAGGCCTTCTTGGTTCAAGCAAGAAATGGGAGGAAGGAAGTTGAGGAACAAGAGAAGAATAATAGCGATTGCATTGCTTGTCATGATGAGGATTGTGTTCCAACACTGTTCTGTCTCTCTTCTAGTTATAGATTATCCAATGTCAAACTTTCAATAATTTTTTTTCTTTTGGAGCCTTTCCTTTTTCTCCCCCTCTTATCAAGAGGATTGGAATCGTGAAGTGAAATGCCCCCCACTATGCATCCATAATTACTGAAAACAATGTTACATCTTTGCTTCAACCTTAAAAATCTTTGTATACATAGAATTAAATTTAAAGATCAAACCTTTATTATTATTACTATTATTTGTTGATGGTAAAATTCGGATTGCGACAACTATTCACTTATTCTGATTTGGGTGAAAGACCGCATCCGATGATTTTCTTTTAAAAAATAGCGAGTCAATAACGATGAATAGTGTGTTGCTGAAGGAGATAATTTAGATATTTTTCAACCACACATGAAGGTTTATATATTGATCCTAAGGGGATGTGTCAGGTTTAGGGTTATAATGGTTATATGTAGGTTAGTAAAGTGAATTGACTTGATCATCATAGAATTCGTTGATGATGAGAGTCCCAACAGTGAGATCAATGGGTTGTACAAGAAACACCCAAATTTGATTGTAATAAAGAGGACATATATACCTGACATTTCTTGTACAAGACACACACATATGTACCGAGTAGAAAAACAGATCAGCAAGATACAAAAACAAAAACAAAATCTCAATGAACTATTTAAATTGACATGGATAGAAGAATTAAATGGACATGCATGCTTTACCGGTATTTTCTGTAATTGTTTCTTTCATTATACAGATATATACACATGTATGCATGTATGTGAAAGATGATGGATGGTTACTTGCAATTTTCCAAACACTTTCAAACAAAGATTGCTTATCTTTTCTTTCATCGATTTAAGTTGCATGACAACTCTTGAAGGTGTCTGAAAATGACAAAACAACACCAAAGAACAAAAGAGAGAAACATGGTGGACACCACATTATTTGTTTATTTATCTATTTTATTTTTTGAGAACTGGTAAGGTTTCAAGATCAGTTTGATATAGGAAAAAAAAGAGGGTTCTTAGCAAGAAAGCAATGGGCAATGATGTTAGTACAAAGGATTAGAATTTGGGGTATATGCTCTACAGTGGCGGATGTACATTGTTTCCGGTGTGGGTACGTGCTCAACTTAAAATCTGAGTTTTCTTTGATTACTTATTAATTATATCCATCTTAAAATTTTATTTGTGTTCACCTGATATAAAAATTTTATAGCATTAATATATATGTACTCACCCTAAAAAATATTTTTAAATAGAACAATGATGCTTAAGTTCCTTTCTCTCATGCATGAACCTCCCATTCCCACCCACATGCAATATTAGCCAATACCCACTACAATATGATGCCAAATTTGTCCATTTTACTCTTTCTTATTGGCTTTTTGCCCTTTTTATATACATATTCATATATATATATAATAAAAGAAGTTAGTAATAATTAGTTAAAATAAATAAATGAAAAAATAAGATTTGTATTATAGTAAATATCACTACTTTAAAAATAATTTTGACTCGAATAATGTAATCTTGAATAGGATAAATTGATATATAATCCATGGATCGATTATATTGAATATTGTTTAAAAAATTAGTGTCTCATTCCAATAGATTAACTAATTGTTAATTATGGACCTTATTTTTAATCACTCAATAAATATAAATTTAGACACATAAAAAATATCAATATTTAACTATGGTGAAATTTACTTCTTTGTATTACATCTCTATATATATTCTTTTAGAGCTTGCATTACCTTTTCATTGATCATGGTAAAGTATTTATTTTATTTTCAAAATTAAATAGTTTGGTTTAATCGGTTAAATGAGATTTTTTTTTTCATTGGATCATATCACAGTCTTCATCTTATTATAATTTTGATCATTTAGTTTTTTATTTATTTATTTTTTTCTAGTTCATCGGTTTCTTTTAAGAACTTCATTTTACCTAAAGGAATGATGGCAAATGGTTGGCAAAAAAGAAGGAAGGTTGATGTTTTGGTTGGGATTGTGTAATAATTATTACAATATTACACTGTACTAATTATTGCTGTGTTATTACTTATTATCATTGAGTAATAATGTGAATGATCGATCTATATAAAGATTTTACTATACAAAATTAATTGCAAGAACTAAATACTTCGACGGTTAAAAGAATCGTTATTATTCTTAGATTTATCAAGTTGGAGTATCAACGTCTGCAAGGATGATTGAGCATTATCAAATGATTAAAAACTCATAACATATATCACTTTCTAATCACCTTAGCTTAATAAAAAAATATACAAAATTAATTGTATCCAGAAATGGATCAAGAAAGAAACGAGCCGGATAGTCATCTCTCAAAATAATTATCTTATATTTTAAATATTTTTTTATATTTTCATTGATAATATATTTTTAATCCCTAAAATTTTATAACTTCTTTTCACCTTACAACTTTAGAAGTTACACCCTTAATATTAAATTTTACATCCACAGTCCAACCCTAATTGTATAAAAAATATAACATATATATGGGTTGGTAAATTATAAAATACTTACATATTTATTAGATAATTTAAATTAAATAAAGATAATTTTATATATATTAAGGCTTAAAATAAAAATAAGTAATTAAACTATGCACCTTTTTTACTTTAAGACTTAAACTACTTTTTGGTCAAACCTGGTGCTTAAACTATTATATTTAATTAAGTCATAATATTTTAGTTAGAAAATTATTTTTCGACCAATAAGATCTTAACATGTCATATAAAATTAGATACTAATTTTAACTAAAAAAATTATTTTAAGGGCTTAAAGCAAAAAGGAAGTAATAAGGATTTAAAAAGTGATTAAGCTACTTAAAATGGATACATATAATAGTTTAAGTACCTAGTTTGAGGGGGAAACAATTTAAGAACTAAAATAAAAATAATATAATAAAGTATTTTTTTAATTTAAGACTTTATTCAATAATAATTCAAGCTAAATAGAATAATTTAATTTCTAAAATACATTATCTCCCCTTATTTTGTCGAATATGCGATTAGCATTGGGGAATAATTTCGTAATGAAAGGGTACAGTTATAATCACTTCTTCGACGAATATAAATATGTAAAATAAATAAAAAATACCATTAGGTTGCAGCAAAGGTGTATGATGCAATTGCTTATCTTTATTCTTTATGCTTAAATTCGGACATTAATTATTCGATGTTCTATAATTATTTCGACTTAAGTAATGTTTAATTTAGGTTATTGATTTCTTTTGCTATTTTTCTTAATTTTTTCTTTTCGATAATAGATTTTCCTTTTCTTACCTAAAATAAGTGCAAGTATTTCGATTTTAATCTTATTAATTTTTATTATCATGAACTGAATATAAGATAGCATATATTAAAACACTTTAAATCATTTTACATTAAATTCGTATACAAATATATATATATATATGTAGTGTTCAAATATAAAGTAATATTTGCTCATAATTTTTCTTAGTCATTGACAACGTATATGCACTTTATAAACGCAACTGCTCGCTCATAAAATGAACTAGGGTCTGTTTATTTCACGGAAAACAGATTCCGGAAAATGAATTCCGTAAAATAAATTACATTTCCAATAAAACATTTTATGGAAATCATTTTATGATATTTGGATGATGTTGTGTAATTCATTTCCCACTTATTGATAAACTTTTTTAAAAATTCTTTATTATAAACGTTAAATACAATAAATAATATTGTTTATTAAAAAATAATAATAATAATTTTTTGAATATTATAATTATTTATTTAATATTATTTTATGTCAATATTATGATTAAAATAATATATTTATAATTTTATAAATAAAGATTTTAAGATTATTATATTTTATTAAAATAAAACTATTATAAATTATATTAATTATTTATTAAAATAAGAATAATATATTATTAATTATAATATTTATAATATTTTTAAAATATTAGAAATTATAATATTCTAATAAGAATATTATATTATATTTTAAGGAGTATATATTAAATATTCAACAATTCAATAATATTATTTTCATGAAATTAATATATAGTACTAATTTTATTAATAATTTATTATATATTATTGAAATAAAATTATAAAAATTATATTTTATGATAATATAATTATAATAATATTATATTATATTATATTATTAAAATTATCAATAAATATATATAATAATTAATATTTTTATTAAAATGACACTAAAATAATATATTAATATTAAATATATAAAATAATAATATTTTGAGTGTTTATGCTTTGAATTGAAAAGTTTGAAAAATGACTTTCGAAAAATCATATTGTAAGTCATTTTCTAGAAAACGCAAAAGAAATTCAGTTAACTAGGAAAATGAATTACATTGACCATCTGTTTCCCACTAACCAGACAGTGAAAAATGAGGAAACATTTTTCGAAAAATCAATTATAGAGAAAATACATACCCTTGTAGTAAATTTTTTTTAAAGCAATTCATACAACATTGACAAATAATACGATTTTTGAACAAATATAGTTGCTTGAAATTAGCAAATAATTGTCTATCGTTTTTTTGGTTGGATTTCTGCATAAGCAACTAAGATGGATGAACGAATTGCTAAAAATCATGATTTTTTTGTTAGATTACTACAAGCGCTATTAAGTTAGATGAAATGATGAGCTAATAGAATTTAAATGTCGGCCAACTTATAAATTATTTGTTTCTTTTCTTATAAAATTGTGTGCATGTTATCTACGGATAAATACAAGATTTTATTTCGGGAGTGAATTTAAAATTTTGTTAAAAGAAATAAATTTATAAAATTTTAGAGGATAAAGATAAATTATCAATAAAAAAATATTTTTTAAAAAACATATAAGAATTTATTTATTTATTTTTTGAGAAATAACTATCCTCTCAACTAGGGATGGGCATGGGACCCGAACTTGACGGGTTCCGACCCGACCCGATAGTGTTAGGTTTTTTTTTAAAAAAAATTCAGATTCGGGTCGGCTCTGGTCGGATTTTTTAAATGTGCTGTTCGGGTCGGGTCAG